AATTAACTATTTTGCAGCTGGTGACTAATATCATATGCTTCTAAGAATATTACTTTAACTTTTTCATAATTTTTGTATTTCAGGAACATGAAACTGTTATTTTGATATACTTAAATAATAAAAGTGTGTATCTGAATCAATTAATGGATACAAATATTTTACAGTTATTTTTAGAAGATATTTGCCATATCGCTTCTAATAATTCATAAAGTATGTTAAAATATAGGTAAATAATTTGGTGCAGAATTCAAATTTAGGGTTTGAAATATAGTGAATCATGAGACTAAATGATTTTTATTGTCATGATTTGCCTGGGCTTAAGAATGTACTTTTCGCCCGGTGGAAATTGTCATCAAACTGTCCTGAAAAGGCTTTTAGTGGAGGGTATACTTTATTGTGCAATTATTGTGTAAGTGCATTTAATTTATGCATTCTTAATTGCAATAAATAAATCTATTCACAATTACAAAATAATTATAAATGCAGTTACATCTTAAATAGAGGCCATTTTAATACTTTTAAATTTTTGCAAGATAACTTCCCATTAAGGTTCATTTGGAGGAAACTATGCAAATACTAAAAAAGAAATTATGCTAAATTTACATATTTTGTACAGTAGTTTCTTGTTATAATGCTGTTCAATATATCTTCAATACTTTTGTAAATTTAACGACATTCATTGCAATCACTGTGGTGCTTTAAAAAGAAGTTTCTTAGTTATGCTTTCTAATAAGAATGTGTTAAAAATTAAGTATTATGTATAATAACTAGCAATTAAAAAAACCTTGACTGCATGAAAATGCTGTTGCTGTGTAAAATAGAAAATAAGCTTATGAAAGATAGAAATAAGCTATTTTTATGACTATTAGAAATTTTGAATATAGAAAATAAGCTATTTTATGCTTTGAAATGAATTACATGTGGTTAAGTCGTCCTTTTACAATTTAAGAATGGTTAACACACATTCTTAAATTGGAAAAGGACAGGTTTTATCTAAATTATTAGTATAAAATATATAAAACTATGAATTATTTTGTAACATAACTCAAATTACAAAAATTCATTCTATATACGTTCAAATTTATTATCTTTTATGGAATAACTGTTTTTTAATTTAGGTAAAAATTGGATTTTTAGAAGTATTACAAATACAATGCAACACAAAGGTGATCTGATTGGAGAGGGAAGGACTTTTTATTACGGTTTCTAGTTCGTATTTATATTACATTTGGAGAAAAGTCATCCAAAACTTAGAATGCTGTACTTTCTTCTTCCATATATGTTATGAAATATTTCACACATTTAAAAGAAAGTGTTTCTTCAGAGTCTTGCACAATTATTTCCATATACCTCAGACTAAAATGACAACATATTCTTAAGTTATTTTTTTAGTATGAATTTAGTGTTTTTATGGAAATTTTTGTTAAAATGTCATTAAGATAAATTTATTTGCACACTCTACGCTTTAACTATTTCCCCATTTGACACTATTGAAAGTTTTTATTCATATCTTATTTATTTAGTCTGCTAACGAAAACTGAAACATCTAAAGAATAAGTTATTTTGAATATGTTTACAAAATATACGCGAAATTTTATTTAAGTGAAAAACGTCTATATACTATTCGAGAATTAATAAATTATCCGAAAAGTTTATGTGCGCTGAATGCCGCGCGTCTATAAAATAAATCTTTAAAAAAACAGCAGACATTCAGCCAGCGTGTGCGATAAACGCGCCAAAATTGGTAGCGCGGTTCCCTCCCTCGCCAAGAGAGAAAAGTTAGTGATTCAGCCTGGTTTAGAGGAGCCTTAATCTGCACTTTGTCTGTCGTCTGTCTGTCGCCACGGATATAATTCCCCCATAACATCTATTCACCATACCAACACCTCACACAAAACCACTGAAATTATTATTGTAAAGAAGACAGTTCTTCCCTTTAACTAACTCAGGACACAATCGTATTTAAGATATTTTCTACCTTTCCTTTCTTTCTATAGGCCCCCTTTTTCCCCTATTATTTTTGGGGCATTTATTTAAGTTTTATTTTGTCCCATCTTTTCTTCCTGGCCTTGTCGTACAAGATGTACGAAGTTCCTTTTACCTCCTCAAATACGAAATTGCTCCTCTTTCTATATACTTTCCTTCGCACCTATGCTTGATTTCGCCCATCGGGCAGAAAGACTTAGCGGTGCAAAAAATACATCTGTCTACTTTGTCTGTCTGTCCTTTTGAACAGACGGAGGGCGCTGTGATCATGTACGATGGAGGCAGGATCTTGGCAGAGCTCCTGAATTTTCAGGGTTTTCCCGAAAATCTCATTATTTAAGAAAATTTTGCGAATATCCTCTGCATTGTCTCGTTCTCAAGGCCGGGATTTCTCCTGTACCTGGGGGTCTTGTCTTCCTTGCAATCTTTTGCTGCACTAAGACGGAGCGTTCAGATAAGTAGAACTTCTTTTCTCTAAGCTATCAAATATTGTCACAAAAGTACCTTAAATTCATTTATTTATTATGATCATTATGATTATTATGCTCATATTATGTTCTGGCATTAAATACTTAGTAATTGCTTTTAAATATGTGGTTCTTTTTTGGTTACCATCTCGTAGGGACGCTATCCTTATCAGTAGGCCTTATCATAGTGTTAGCACTACCCATTGGGACCCTTTGAGGAATTTCTCCAGAGAGAAAAAATGATCTCGGGCCTCAATGTATAGAGTTGTAGTTTTGCTCCTCTAATCTATATTCCTATCTATTTAAAGTAAAAGCATATATTAATCAGTGTGCCTCAAATTGATAAATAGTACACATACAATAAATTAATGACCATTAACTTAATAAATAAATAAATGCCTATTTTTTTAAAAAAAACTTAATATTAAATAAAAAAACTCCGTAATTTATTTACTTATTTATTTTTGCTAATATGTTCTCGCCTTGTTTTGATTTATGATTTTATCTGATGGTGTTTTCTGTGTATATAAAATGTTGGAAACCGCATAGATGATGTACTTAGTTTAATGTATAACTTTGCATGATTTTATGTATCTTAATCTTATGTGTCTTCAGTACGTGTCTCAGGTAGAGGCTATTGGTTTCCATGTTTAAAAAATAAAAGTTTAAATTAAAAAATTTTTAAATTTTAGTTTCCCTGTTATACAAAAGTTTAGCTTCTAAACTGACTGTTATGTGACTGGCCCCCCCATATTTATTATTTTGTTATAATTTTCCCCATCTTTCCATCTATTCAGCTTTACAAACACACTTATTACCACACCTGAAAGACTCTATTTAATGTAAATGATAACAAATTGACTACACACATGAACACAATCGTGGGTTTTTTTTTAAACAAAATTCTCTTACTTCCTTTCTTTTTTCTTTCTATAGGCCCCCCCCTTTTTTTTTAATTATAAAAAAAAAAATTTTTTTCCCCTCTCCATTACTTTTGGGCCATTTATTTTTTACTTTATTTTGTCCCATCTTTTCTTCCTGGCCTTTCGAACTAGTATAAAATATACGAAGTTCCATTTTACTCTCCTCTGAAATACGAAATTGCCCGCCTTTCTATATACCTTTCCTTCGCACCTATGCTTGATTTTTCGCCCATCGGTGCAGAAAGACTTAGCGGGTGCAACAAAAGATATCTGTCTACTTTGTCTGTCTGTCTGTATCCACGGAGTATAAACTTATGTCATTATACTCCGTGCAAACGGTGAAGCTTAGCGGCCATGTTACTGTTATCACTTGACTTGTACAAGGAAGTCTGTAATTGTAACATTTTTTTCCCCTTTTCATTTTGAAGCATGTCGGCTTATATTGCATATGGATGCACAAATAGATTTTCAAAAAATATTCCTGGGATTACTGTTCACTCGTAAGTATTGATTTTCTTTTTTTGTGTGTGTTTGTGTAATTTCATAAATATGTTAAAAAATATCACAATGTCATGTTGTTTTCTTTCCAGATGTGAAAAAAAAAAGACTTAATAATAATCGAAACATGTTAAATACATTTTAATGTTTTTGCTTACAGCTGGTATCTTCGTTCCTTAACATACAATGATATGTGCTAGTAATTAAACTGTATGATTTGAACGCTTAGGTAAATAGTTTTATAATTTTCATGAAAAGTAAGAAATCAATTGTTACTATTTTTATGAATTGTAAAAGTGTTAAATAAAGCAACGCTTTCTTTATGCATTAATTATTATTCATTTTTAAGTTTTGTGAACTGTTACGAATATAATTTGTGCATTTGATCGAGATAAACTGTTCAGTTGTTAAAATGTTTTTGCATAAGCTTACAAATTTCTGGGCAGTATTGCGATAAACGTAAGTAAAATATTTACACAATTGAACATGTGAAAAGATATATCCAAAAATTTATATAGGTACATTTCTGTAATTCAGCTTAATTCAGGGTAATTTCTTTGAGATTTATAAATATGAAACGCGCATAAACTGAAATCATTGAATTCACATAAATCTGGTTTATTTTATTAATATTTATTTGCTTGTTGATATAAGGTTGTTGGTTGTGAAAAAAAGCTATTTAAAACATTCATTTAAAAAAAAAAAGCAACATGTTACCATTTTTTTAGATATTATCTGCTATTAATTTCAGGTAAAAATTATTCTAAGTGATTCTTTAATAAATTGTAATAATTGCGAATAAATCAGAATATCACTTCTTAAAGAAACAATTGGAAAGTATACCCAACAAGTTGATAATAAAACCTATACAAATTCTTGAAGTTATGCAGAAACATCATTTAGATTTCGAACTATTTCTTAATGATTTTCTGTACTTAGTAAATTACGGATATCATCTTTATAACTTTAAAACAAAAAACTAACAATAGCGAAGCATTTCTTTATAAATTTAAGATATTTTTACTGGAAAATCCTTGCATTTAACAGCTGAGAAACACGTACGTTTCACTACCGTATGGCAAATGTTTTGAAGTTACAAACATGGACGCCGCTTGCTCCGTGGAGCTTCATTCCCCGATAGTGGAGGAAACTGCGAACCCTCCCTCCTTCTATTCTAACCTCCTTGGTAAAAATACCGGTTACTGTAAACCCTACAAAATACATCACTAGATTTATTGACAATTTATTTATCTAGGCAAAATGGTTACAAAAGTTGCTGTTGTAAGTATTAAAATCAATAAAACATTATTGCGTTAAAATTTTTTTCAATAAATATTTCATAATATAAAACTTTTATAAATTTTTAAATTATGTGTTTATTATTTCATTCCGAGTTATTTAAGAAAAATAACATAATTTTCTTCATGCTATATGGTAATTAGTCGCATGTTGGAGCATTGCTGAACTCATACTTAAAAAACAGAATAAAATGATAAATGAAAATCAAAACACTACTATATATGCACTGTATGTTACTTCATTATTAAAGCAGACAGTCTGTATATATTTAAAAGTTACAAGTTACAAATTTGGTGATTCAATCAGCTTATTTTGTTATGGTGTCTTTATTGAACAATAATTAAATGTCACCTATGGATATTCTAATATATTTTAAGAACATTAGGCTTAAATAAGAAGTTTAAACTTACCTTTCTGGATTTTGGAAAGCCTAACAGATTTCAGTTCACAAAAGTCCCATTTATTGCTATTACAGGCCACACATCGAGCAAAAGCTTTCATTGAAGGGCAGTTCAACCTGAAAAAAGAAATTAAAATCACCATTTAAAATTTCATGATCAGGTAACAATACAAAGGTTTAGCACTTGGCTTATAAATAATCCTGCTCTTTCAGAAAAATTTAATTGCCATGACAATAGATTTAGGTTGGTAACTTATTTCTGTAAAAAAATTTATGCCCTTTCCAGGAAAAACATGAGCACACATATTTACCAATAACATATTCCTGGAAGTATAACACAATGGCTTCAAATCAATTAATTAGAAGTTTGATTTCATTTCTACTTTAACCAGGTTGCTTCATGGCCATATGACATACATATTCTTTTTAAAATAAAGACTAATGTAACAGATTCAAATAACAAATTTAAAAGTTTTGCCCGTAAGCCAGTAAAAGTAAGAAAAAAGCATAATAAATTAAATGCTGTTGTTGTTGGTTTCATTTTAACTTTGCCCAGTTTGTCTTCATGGCAATGGCAATATTTATAACATATATAATACCTAAAAAAGGAACTTTTTGTTATGTTAATAATAATAATTTGCTGCATTTTTTAACTCCCAAAACCCCATAAATGTTTTGCGAAAATATAAAAAACTTTATTTTCTTTTACCGTAATGTTCGAAAAGTAAACCCCATAAACGTTTTTTAACCCCCATAAACGTTTTGCGAAAATGTGAACTAATAATGATTTGCGACTTTCAAACTTTATTTTCTCTTACCGTAATGTTCGAAAAGTAAACAGAAAATTTCCCTTTTCCTCCTTCAGGAAAATTCCCTGTGTGGGTTGCAACAATTATCAGGGTTACCATATTCTGGCGCACGTACGCTCACTTCCTATGTAAACAAATCCGCAATTTCGCCAAGTGCCGGTTATGGAAACATCCCCGCATATTAAACGTAATAGTGTGTCATAAATTTCAGCGAAAAATATAATTAATCCCTTTCTCCTTATATTAGAAGAATCAAATATGTGAACAGATAAAATTTACATTAGAAAACAGATTTATTATCTTCTGTATATAATCGTATAGGGCTACAGAGGCTCACAAAAATGACCTGACACATTGAATTTTTGTATTCTGTAATGAGCATAAAAACTAAAATTAATTAAAACAAAAAGATAGGCTTTTATTTTGATTATATATAAATTCAGCATTTTTTATAGTAAATCCATTTTTGAAAAGATGAAAATTAAATTCAAAAATCAGTATCATTTTTTTAATGAGAAAAAATATTCGCATAAAAATAATCGGACACTTTAAGTAACAGCCAAAAATCCACATTGTTTTTGTTTTGAATATCTTGTGGAATTACCTTTACACTTGATCACTTCATTTAATCTTTTAGGCACTGACTCTATAAGTTTTTTTGTTAGTTTTAGACTTATTTTATGCCATTCCTCTTGAATCACTGCTTTGAGTTGCTGCCACAAAAATATGCTCTGTTTTCAAATTTCCATGCCAAGTATATTCAATAGGATTAAGATCTGATGATTTGGTTGATGCCTTAATTACTTTTGGACAGACAAAGTCTAATATTGTGCGCAATATGCTTTGGATCATATGTTCTGGGGTACTTACGTTTTAACACAACCATTTTGGCACAATTTGGCAATTGTTCACAGATGAAAAGGTAATAGTTACTTATTGAGTGCAAGTTGGTCGTTTTCATGCCTTTTTTTAGAAAGATTCCCAAACTATTGATATTTATTGTAAGTGGGTAAACATTATCAGCATATAAAAAGAAAACATACTTTAGCAATTTAAAATACAAATTTGAATTATTAAATAAGGATTAGGTGATATATTTAAAAAATGAAACACTTATACTCTTCTTAGATTCTTTATGTAATTTTCTTACACTCTTCTTCTCCCGAAGTAACCAACAATCTGTTTTCGTTTAAAATACATTAGAGAATTGCGCACATTTGGCTTCTTGCAATCTATTGTTCCCTTTAGAATATTTTTAGCAAAATTTGGTACTGTTCTGTAATTGGGACCAGATTCAGAAATGTATGAATGTATGCACGTGTGTATGTATGTGTCTGCATATATGTGTACATGTTTATACACACATTCATAATAACATATATACATGCATACATGAACACACATACATATATTTCTGAATTTGTCTCGATAACAGAACAGTAACCAAAATTCTGTAATTTGCAGAAATTTTACCGTAGTTCTTTTCATTGCGGCAGTGTTCGCAAGCTCATGTTTTAAAACTAAGTTTAAGGCAAAAAAAATCACAATTTCTTCCTAAAAACCATTCTACCCTGGAATACAACAAAAACGAATGCATACGAAAATGGCGGAGTTACTTGACTGAAGGACTGTTACGAGAATGGTTGCTGAAAGAAAGGTAATGTGCATGGTTGCCAGAGTTTAGCACATTCTAAAAATTTGGTGATTTCTAGTAAGGTGGTTGCTTCAATGTGTAAGTACCTGTTCTGGTAAAATTTGGAACTATTTTATGTATGAAGTTTGTGTGCCAAATTTCGCTTCAAGATGTCAAGCTATTTATACTGATTCATGGTACCATCTGTAAACTCTATATTACTAACACCAGAATGTGCCATACATCCCCATAACTCCTCCTCTGCCATATTTAACACTTGCTACTTAGTTTTGCTTCCAAAATTCTTCTTTGGGTTTTCTCCACACCAGCACATGTCTATCTGAGCTGAAGATGTTAAATTTGCTTTCATCAGCAACCAACACTTTTTTTTCCAGCAGTCGGGTGCCTTTTGTTTCACTGATTTTGTGAAAACGAGTCGAAGTTTTTGATTTCTTTTTACTGACATAAAGTTTTCTTCTTGCTACTCGCCCATGATATCCTACAGACTGCATTACTCTTCATACAATTTATGGATTTATATAATATAAATTATATTATATATATATTCCATATAATTCATGAAGTTCCACAACAAGTTTAGGAGTTCTCAGTTTTGGATTCTTTTTAATATTCCTTAAAATAAATCATTTCATTCCATCAGATAACTTAGATGGTCTTCCAGGTTTTGTTTTGTTTTGGATCTGATTCTGTCTTTTATAACACTTAATAATATCAAAAACTGTAAAATTACTTAAATTAAGTAAATAAGTAATTTTTTAAATGCCCTTACAAAACATTCCATGATTCAAAATTTCCCAGAATAATGCAAACAATTACGTCATAATAGTGTTTCCATAACATTCAACTACTCAGATTACCATAAATGAAACAACAACTTCGCGATAATACAAGGGGTACCCTAAAGTCAACTCTAACCCTTAACACTTACAAGTATAGTGGAATTTACGATAATGTATTGTTATACATGTTTAGATGTCATGGAGGTAAGAATAAAAGGAGGTGCCAACCCCACACTATGAATAAAGCAATGCTCCCAGTCTTTAGTCTCCAGAGGGGATGTTTTTTGTTTACATCCAGAGCATCCTTGACAGCGCTTTGATAGTATTTTCACACAAATTGTAAAGCGGCAACACTTCCGCGTAAAAGAAACATTTATTGTTCAATGGATAATAACAATTTGTATAGTTTAGTGACATTTATGCAAAATCTTGTTTATTTTTGATAACTTGCAGCAGCAAATTTGACTATGAATTTGTTTTATAAAATTCTAGGTTACTGGAATACAGAAATATAGATTTTAGCAAAAATGTTATGCATAAAGAATGAAAAATACCTTACAGTACCTTTAAAATGTAAAAATATCGGAAAAATATAACATGCCTTAAACTTCAATTTTTTTATAACTAAGTGGTATGTCCCAAATATCAAAATGTTTTAAATAAAGTACATTTTTGTCATCCAGATAATACAATAAAATGTATTTTTTAAAAATTTTTAGGGAAGACTCGTAATAGTTTCTCATTTTAAACTCATCATTTTATTTTTATATTATTAAAAAATAATCAATTTAGGCTTACATATCTGAACTGAAAAATGAAATTATCATGAAAACCTGCAATCCTCATCAGAATTAATAAATATATAGAGAGAGATGCTAATAAGTTAATTTTTTCTTCGTTGGAAACAAAGATTTGTGTAAAACTGTGTACAGAAACACCTGCCAAACTCGGTGAAAGTAACCATGTGCGGTCAAACTAATATGGATACTCATGTACTATGGTGAGTAACTAGATAGCTCGCCAAAACTGGTGACCTTTGTAGGTTATACAGGTTAACCCTAACATAGGTTATAGAGGGCACTAAAATAAAGAGTATTATCCCACAGTTGCTATTACCACACCCTTTTTTGCTACACTTATGCAGATTTAACGTTTAGGTTAAAAACGTGAAACTTTTTGTGATTAATTTTCCCCCAATGTATATCAACATTTTCCAACTTCCTTCAAATGAAGAAGAAGTGATGCAATGTCAAAAATTTTCAACAAATGTTTGGTGTCCGAACTGATACGGGGTTTGAAAACAGTCGTACTGAATTTTTAAAAGTTTTAAGATTTATTTA